ACGTCGCGTCTATGGCACGTGACGGTGTCACTGCAGCGGACAGGCACGCCCAGGCTATTTCCCTCTAGCTAGCACGGGCAGCAATAGTGACCATGTGGCAGCATGGGCTAGCAACCCAAGGGCGCAGCCTGGCTCCCCTGGAGGTTTGTGCTCAGGTTATTAGCCTGAGCTGCCACGTCTACACTACTACTGTTCTCCACACTAGCTAGCTTAACGCTGGCACGGGCATGCCTAGCCCATGCGGCAATCAGCTCTTCCTCTGCAGCAGAGACGTACCCTGAGGTAGATGAAACTTGGCCACTCAGAGCTGGGATACGGGGGGGGGGGGGGGAGGAAGGAATTCAATCACAGCACTTCATCAGCCCCCCCCTCGAAACGCCAAAGGGGGAAGAGCTGGCAGCGCCCAGGGGCCAGACATCACTCACCTGTAAGGGAAATCGTCCCTGTAGAGCTCATAGTCCAGGTCACAGTTACTGCTGCAGGAGAGAGAAGATAGCAAGGGAGGTGAGAGCGAGCCACTCGCAGTGGTGAGCATGATGGTAGCTGTGCCTCCCCCATGCCCCCGTCCCAGCAATGCCACTCAGCCATGGGGCCTGGGAACTCCCAGGAGGATGCAGCAATGCGTAGTTGGTGAGATTTCTCTGCTTACACAGCGTGGGGATTACCATGTGGAGTAGGGGGCATCTCTAGATCATGGGGAGGGATCAGCAGTGAGCAGCATCCGCAGGCCACTGTGATATTTGCAATTGTGGGTGTCTCTGGATGAGCTAGGAGGAACAGTCCGGAGGGGCTGGCTGGGTTATAAGGCCTTTGCTTGGTGGTGGTGGGTGTGTGTTTTATTTAAAATTTACTTGGGAATTTATTAGTTTTTATTATAAAAATTACAAAGAATGGGGGTAACTGGTGCAAGAAATGAACGTTGCCATTTGCTGGATAAATATCGGGGTACGGATCGCTCTCTTCTAATGCTTTTGGGTTTGGAAGCTGTCAGAAAACCCCTCATGTTCTGAAACACAGTCAGCCACCACTTTCCCTTTTCAACCCACTTCAGCATGAAAAGCAGTTGCCCAACTTTTATTTGCTTTCAACGCTGACAGCTCTTGTAAGAGGGCACAGCAGGGCCCCCCTTGGTCCTGCCTCTGCTCCAAAAACCACTCCCAGAGCCTCAGGTTCAGCAGTCACCACTGCAGTTTATTTACAGGGTGCAAGCCCACCACCTTCTCACCATATACAGCCTGGGGGCTTCAGGCCGAAGGACTTCCCAGCCTCTACAGCCAGGAGAGAGGAGCTCCCAGTCCCCAGCTTCCCCTCTTCTGTCTGGCCTTTCTGGAGCCCCAGGCTAATCAGGCTGGGAGCTGTTTCCCCTTTGCCAATCAGGAACAGGTTTCTCTAGCCAGCTCCGATTTACCTCCCTTAACGGGAACTGGCGTGGCACAGGGCTGGCTCAGCAGTTCATACCCAGCACCCTGTCACACACCTCCCCCCCTTGCCTAACCACCAGGTTCGTCCTTCCCCATCCCCTCTACCGGATTGGGCACTCCAGGGGAGATCTCCTTCTACCTTCGGGTGACCCCCCCGGGGTCCTCCTTGCGAGATTCATTTACCCCCCACCCACAGAAATTACAGTGTGGGGGGTGGATACCCCCATAGGTCCACTTTAGGTGGTTCCACCTCCTTCTTCGGGGGACCTCCCCTTTTCCCCACCGTAGTCTTCCTCCCACCACCTCCTTTCCCTCCTGGGAAGGGGTCCCAGTCCATGCCCAACACCAGTGGATAAGGCAGCCCCTCCACTACCCCGACCCATCTCCACTGGAACCTGCCCCGGACCTCAAGGGGCACCTGGGCCACAGGGACTGTCTCTCATCCCCATGGACATATTCAAGGTTCACCTTGGCTCCGGGAACCATCCAGTGTGGCTTTACCAGCCCCCTCTAGATAAGAAACCAGGCTGAGGCCGTATCTACCAGGCCCCTCTGGGGTTTCCTCCCCACCATCACTGGAACGATGGACAATCTCTGCCCATTCCCCTGCCCTCCAGTGTTAGCCCAGCTGCAAAACTCAGCCCAGCCACACTCCAAGTACGGGCTGTCCCCCTTGTTATGTCCCTAGCCTCTGTCTGTCAGAGGGTGGAGATGGATGGTAGGAGAGAGATCACTTGATCATTACCTGTTAGGTTCACTCCCTCTGGGGCACCTGGCATTGGCCACTGTCGGAAGACAGGATACTGGGCCGGATGGACCTTTGGTCAGACCCAGTACGGCCGTTCGTATGTTCTTAAATGGTCAGGCCCCAGGGGGAGCTCCTTGGGTGCCTTCCCTTTTCCTCTCTGGGCTTTCTCCCAGACTCCAAGTCTTTATATGGTCGTCCCTCTTTCCTGGGGAAATTGGCCTCCGCATACTCCTCAGTCAGTTTCTCGGCCCCAGGCACCATACTCGGTTGATGCCACCTAACCCATACTCGTGTGCTGTTGGGGAGGCCCTGTAGGAACTGTTCTAGGACCAATGCGTCCATAATCCCCCCCACACTCTGGGTGCTGGGTCTCAGCCAGCGGGTGGCCCAGTCCATCAACCTTTGGGCGAACGCCTGGGGCCGCCCACACACCCCCTTGCTGACCGTAACTTCTGGCGGTATTTCTCAGAGGGCAGTCCCACCCAATCCAGGACAGCCGGCTTTACCACATTGTATTTCCTGGCCTGCTCCTCACTCAGGAACATTTAAGCCACTTGGGCTTCGCCGGCTAGATAGGGTGCCCTATCCCACCCAGCCCCCATGGCTACCCGCTTGAAAGTGTGGAGGAACGCATCTGGGTCATCCGCGGGGACCATCTTCCATAGTCCTGTGCCCAGCTGCCATTCTCTGCAGGAGCTGCTGTTGTACGCTGGCCTGTTCCTGCAGGCTTTTCTGCTGCTCGGCCTGCCAGGTAAGCAAATCCTGCCTCTCGACCTGGGGGGATTGCTGCAAGCTTTGCATAGCCTTCTACATCTCCTGCTGTTGCTTTACCAGCCCCTGCAGGGGCTCTTCCATCTCTGGGCCACCAAACTCTTGCGCTGGCTCAGGCTCCCGGACAAGCCCCCACGGGTACCAGGGCATAGAAGGGCTCCCCTTGCTCTGCTCCAAAAACCTCCCACAGACCCTCAAGTTCAGCAATCACCGGTGCAATCCCACCACCTTCCCACCGTACACAGGCTGGGGGCTTCAGGCTGAAGGACTTCCCAGCCTCTGCAGCCAGGAGAGAAGAGCTCCCATCCTCCTTCCACTCTCTGGCTTCCCCTCTTGTGTCTGCCCCCCCAAGCTTTTCTGGAGCCCCCAGCGAATCAGGCTGGGAGCTGTTTCAGGAGCAGGTTTCTCTAGCCAGCTCCGATTTACCTCCCTTAACAGGAGCTGGCATGACAGAGGGCGGCTCAGCAGTTCGTGCCCAGCCTCCTGTCACGACTCTCCATGCAATCTGCAAAGCTGGTATGCATATGTGGCAGGCGCGAAACGGACGACACGACGTATACCAGCACTGATCCAGCTCCCCAGTCAGAAAGGGGAGATGGCGGCTAGGTCACCCGGGACACTCCTCTCTCCTTCCGGAGCGGGGAGCTGGATCTAGCGTGTTCCCGCACTTCCAAAATTAGGGGGGAAATCAATAAAAATGGAATTATGGCTTTTGTCAAACCCAGGAATTTTTCAGTACAAATGGGACAGGAAAGGCCTTCTGGGGGAGACAGGCACTGAAGGGGTGTCTCTGGCTGTGTGGGACACTGCCACTGAGGCTCACTCTGGATTCTCAGGGCATTTAGACCCCCCCAGGAAGTCTATTACTGAGCGTGTCTGGGTCTTGGCAGGGAGTTTAGATAGAGAGGAGCCCCCTTCGAGCAGTCTGAGCAGGACCCGTTATCTGGGAATCTGCAGTTACAGGTTTCTGATGTTAAATTTCACGGTTTCTGGTTCTGTGCACACACTATCTGGTCTTTCAGCTCCAAATTAAGAAGCAATCTGTCAGAGAGAGCATGCCAAGGCGAGAAGCCAGCATGCCTGTAATAAATCATACACCCTGAACCAGAAGTTTGGGGTCTGCGTGAAGGATGTAATAACATATTCTGTGGTTTTGCAGAGTCAGCAGCTGTGGGATGAATACTAATGTGAAGCTTCGCTTTGGAGTGTCACCGCTCTGCGAGGTGCCGGGGCAGGGGAAGGGTGCAGAAGTCCACGGCAAGTTTCCTGCGGTCCAGTGTTTCTATTACATCAGCAGAAACATCGGAGCCGAAGGAAGGGCTTGTGATGGAGACACCGGGCAGGGAATCAGGACATCTGAATTCGGTTCTCCCATAGCGCTACTGTATGATTTTAGAGGAGTCAGTTCTCATCTCGTTGCCTCCGTTTCCCCCTCTGTATAACAAGGATAACGATCCTCACCTCACCCAGAAAAATGGTTTTGAGTTTTAGTTCATTCATGTTTGGGAAGTGCTTTGGAGATCCTTGGCTAGAAGGGGCTGGTGAAGGGCAAAGGATGAGAGGTGACACCATGGTGTAAAGGTTTGGGGGACCAGAAGTGAGAATGCAGGAGGCTTCCGGCTGGGCAGAGGTGTTACCTATCAGCTCTGTGTTCTTGGGGAACCAGGGTGCAGTACCCAGCCTGTCTGACTCACGAAAGACCATCCCCTCCCCCAGCCTTTGCTTGAACCAAAGCCGATCAGAAGAAAGACTTACAAAAAGCAATGAAAAGGCCGTGGGAGACACCCCTAAACCCCTCCGGACAAGGGTGACAGATTAAGGCAACTCCCCTCGCCTCATTTGCATCGGAGATGGGACAGGGAGGCATCTCCATTACCATACAGAATGGAGAACGGAGACTCAAAGGCAAGAACCGCCCGGAACTCTGGGACCAGAAAAGCAGGGAAGCAGTGCATGATGGGGGGGATCTCGGCACCAGATGTTAATGAACCCGCGCCTGAACACACCCAGCTCACTAGTTATCAGACCAATTCTAGTAATAAACCCTTTAGTGGTATCCAAAATACTGAAGCTGCCTAATTGCATTGTGAGCTCCCTGGAAGGAGCACCGCCCACAGCCAGGAATGATCAGTTCCTATTGTCTAGCCTGAACAAAACAGCTTTGGTATCCTCCCTTGAGGCATCAGTTTACCCATAAACAGATCTAGTGTTCTCCCTTGAACCATTGTTCTTTCCCTCCAAAAACCCCTATCCATGCTCAAGTAAGCGTTCTGATGCCTGGATCCAAAATCTGCATCTGTTCCATTGGGACTTCATCTTCTCCTGACTGATTATGCTGGGGGCTCTGCCTGTCTCCAGCACTCCAAATCCTCAGCTACCACCACCACCTGGGACCCCCGATCGGAGTGGTGAGAACCCATCTCTCTCTCTCTCTAGGTATAGCCTTCTGACCCTGACTTATGTGATCAGTTATAGTTTTCTAAACCTGACTTTTATAATCAAATTTAAGTTGGATTTAATATTATAACTGTCTTGT